AGACAACCACTGATTATGTGACAATTCAACACATAATGGCATCTTCTATATGTTAGGCTGGAAGTTTCAGAACAAAAATATCCATGCCCTTCCCCCCCCGCCGCCACATCCCCAACTTCCAGCCAGAAGCTGGCACTTGCAGAAGTTCAAATACCAAACAAAGAGATTCCTGCCAAAACCCCATGCTTACAAAAGCCCACCCAAAACACTAAGCAAAACATACACTTAGTTCCAGATTCTGAAGTAACCACTGTACTCAAACACACCTACCAGACCCCTAGCCCAGGCAATGCTCCAATACCTTTTCAAGCATGTTATTGTCTCCCTCCTCTCTCCTACAGAAAGCCCCTAACCCAGTCCAGCCATGAGACATCCCTAGACAAACTTGCCTTTTACTTTTTAATTTGCCTCAGTTAGATTTATTACAGGGGTGGAGATGCCCCGCACTATGTTCTAGATCTTTCTCTCATTTATCTGACAACTCCTTGTGCTTTAGTTTACCATTTGTATTCATTTCATTTCTATAACTATGATAAGCACCATGACCAAAGACAATTATGGGAAGAAAAGGGTATATTTTAGTTTACACTTACGGATCACAGTCCATCATGGAGGAAAGCCAAGGTAGTAACCACAGAAGAATGCTGCTTATTTGCTTGTTCTCCATGGCTTACTGAGTTTGTTTCTTATACCACCAAAACCACCTGCCAAGAGAAGGTACTTCCTGCAGTGATCTAGGCTCTTCCATTAATCAAGATAATGTTCCCATATGCATGCCCAAAGGCCAATCTGATGTAAGCATTTCCTCAACTGAGGTTCCCTGGTGACTCTAGTTTGTGTCAAGATGACAAAACTTAACTAGTACCGTTGCAGAAGTTCCTTTCTTGAATTCTAGTAGTCAGTATTCTGGAAATGCAGATTAAAACTACTCTATGATTACCTCTTACCCCAGTCTGAATGGCTATTATTAAAAATAAAATCAAATGCCAATGAATCTGGCATAGATGTGGGGAAGGAGAAACCCTAACACACTTATAGTGAAAGGGTAAACCTGTGAAGTCACTTTGGGAATCAATCTGAAGGTTCCTCTACAAGTTGGAAATAGAAGTACTATATGCCTTAGGGTATACAGCTCCTGGGCATGCCCTCCTGGGTATACAGCTCCTGGGAATGCCCTCCTGGGTATACCACCCTGGGGCATGCACCCTAAGGAATCTGCACCCTACACTCTTACACAGACACTATTGCTTCCATATTCATTGCAGCCCTATTTACAATAGCTAGACAATGGAATCATTTCAGATTTGTATAAAATAACATGCAGATAATGAAAATGTACAAATATATAATGGAATTATATTCATCTATTAAGAAAATGAAACTGTGAAATTTGCAGAAAAGTGAATAGAACTGGAAATATAAACATGTTGATCTAATTAAACCTACCCAGAAAGAGAAATGCAGGCTGTTTTCTCTGGTATCAGATTCTAGCACTGACTCTTTAATTCTTTGTATAACCCTCAGAGGACCTTGGGAACAAAAGAAACAAAAAGGAGGAAAGTTAAGATCTTGGTTTAAGGCAAGACAGTACCACATAGGTTAAAGAGGGTGGCATTCAGCAGACGGGCATGTTTTCATTTCTCCAGTATCTCATGGACTCTTTTAAATGCAGGTACAATAAGCCATGTCCTGAAACCGAAGATTCAATAAACTGTGAATCAAAAGCGTCTTTAGCTCCATTTGTAATAAATGTGATTGACTTCTCCATTGTTTTGATTCTCTAGGCAAAACAACGTAACAGTTAGGAACGTTGTATTTATACAATGCCTTTTAAAGCAGGGGAGGGCTTACATAGGTAATATATGGCCATTGTAAATAGATGTGAGGGCCTGTGAATTTGGGTACCCACAGAAGTCCTGGAACCAAAACCAATCTCCAAGGAAATGAAAGACAGCTGTCTACTCTTTCGCTTTCTACTCTGGCCTTTGGAAGTGATCTCACATAAATCTCGTGCTATGCAATGCTGCTGATCACCCAGGCTGTGTGGCTCTATGTTACTGTATGATTCACTATGGAAACCTTAAACATTCAAAATGAGAAATTGCTTTTAATATGTAGTTGAAATACAGAAACTGAACAAATGGTAAAATGCAGGATTCTTGGCTACTCCTTGGTCACATTAAATTATTTATTTGGAAAGTTTCAAGCCGTTTTACCACGGTCCTCTCTTCTCTCTAGGAAGTTGTGAGTTTGAGAGAATTTTGTTTTCCTTCTTCTTTTCACAATCTTAAGTATTCAAATTTTCAAGGTGTATCTTTGTGCACATCTCTTTGATAGCCTAAATTTCATATTTAATATTGTGTCTGTCCAGTGTATTGCAACCAGATATAGGCAATAAATGCCAAAAGAAAGTAAGATCTTGGCTATTACATGTCTGGGGTCAGTTTGATCCCCCAATGCATCATTTTATCTGCAAACATCATTTTATAGTTCAGCTATGTCCTAAAACTTTCTCAGTTTACTTATTTTTGTTATTGTCTATGCCCATCTTTCATTATACTTTGTAATATGAGAGACTGTGGTTTTGCATTTCAAATCATTGGGTAGAAGTTTTGACATTTCTTTAGACCAAGGTTACACTCTTGCATATTCCTTCCTACTTCCTTTGTACCCACCGTAAACCTGACTACATCTGATTTTCCATCACTGTTTTGCTTCAGTTGCAAATCAGTTTACAGAATGCAGTGGGATTTTGCTTAGGTTTGTGCCTTTCTAGTCAAATTGCTATTAGAGGAAATATCTGAGTAATGTGAGCTCATGGACACAAAGCATTGAAGACACATCTGGGACCCTGTCTCATTAGTAAGTTAGGGTCTGCTACACTTGTCTGCCAATACCTATCTGCCAATATTCTGGTCTTCCTAGTTTCTAATGCTGATTTAGATAAATGCTTTTCTAATCCAAATGAAACCTTGTGGTGTTGAATGCAGCCATGAAAATAAGCACTGCTGTATGTGCCCCATTTGGAAGAAGCCTAGACAGACTTGGTCAGAATTAAGCAGGAGGCAAGGGACAATTGGGTTCCACTGTCTATAACCACACCATAAAAATGTCAAACCCCACTCTTCCAGGAATCCCAGAATGTAAGAGATATTGAGGGTTAGAATTGAATTGGGATCCTTGGTTTTCAATCAAATGTGATTTTGTGTGATAAGAAGAGTGAGAGAAAATAACAAAATAGGCCTTACTCTTAAAGTTTTGGTAATGAGGACAACGACAGGGTCATTTATTAGTCCCCTAAACCTCTAGAGTCACATACAAGCCCCAGGATACACTTGCCAGACAGGACTCATGTTAGACTATTTGAAGAGACCTGGAGTGATTACATGACCCCGTCATGACTTTTGGTAAACTGGCCATCATGGCTTTCCTAGTGATACCTGAGATCAGAGAACTGGCCTTTGGTAACCCAGGGAAAACAGCTAACTCACCAGAGGGGCTACACCTTCCTTGAGTAAAGTTGGATTATTATCTGAAATCTAACTTATGCCATGGTTGATTGTGAGGACTCACCATATCTATGAAGTTTAGGTGACCCTGAACTTCCTTAACTCTTAGTTTCAGACGGTCAGTCTCAAGATTTCCCTCAGAAAGGTCACTCAAGGAATGTGGACTCTGGGTATTTCTCCAGCTAGAGATTTCCTCTCTTCACATCCTTCTCCCAAACCTTCTTCACGTGGGCCCACATTCACCACGGTGAGGCCCTTGCCCCGCAGTCCACGGAACTCTTCTGATATGTCTCTATCAGGTTTACAACATCCATCATTCAATCAATCAACAGTTATGAATCTACCTACTTCTACCAGGATTCTGTAATAATTTCCTCCAAATTATGTTTTTTAAGAATTAATATTATTTCCTCAAAGTCATGGTAAGCTTCTAGAAGGTGAGACTCTATCTACTTAAATTGTATATCTTGTCTGGCACCCTAGGTGGCATTTACTGTCTCTTATAAAATGATTCTTTACAGAGTAGCCATTAGTTAACTTCCTTGTTGCATTCTGTAACTCAAACTGTGACTCAATATGCATGCATTTTCAGGTGTATCTGCTGTATGAAGGTAGTACATCCTATGGTACTTCACATTACACATATTTCTAGACTTAAAGACTAACACTGTTTCGTGCCTGATGGGCATCTGAGAGACTGGTTCAGTGCAGAGATAGCTTTCCACACACACAACTCAAGAAAACCTTAAAGCATTAATTTATTCTCTAAGCTATTTGAGATGCTAACGTGTCTAACCAATTCACAGCCACTAACTGTAATCCCTTCCATTTAAGAGCTTTGTCTGATCAACAAGCAAAAAACAAAAACAAAAACAAAACAGTAATTAAACCATCCAGGGTTCTTTTTTGCTGTGAAAAAAAACCTGTACTCTCTTTAAAGCAGAGCAGGCGTTGAAACCAGGATGTCTGAGAAAATGGGTAGAGGTCTGAAGGAGCGAGTGAAAATGATGCCACTAATGGTGTTGATGATGGGTGGAGAGGAGATTGCTAACAATTTAGTGTTCTGTTCTTAACTTCAGTCAAGCATTTACCAAAAGAATTAAACGGGTTGAACTTTGAAAATCTCAATCAAATCTTGAAAGCATGAGTATATTTTGAAGGTGGAAAAGAAGGGAAAGAGGGAGAAAGTGCTTAAAAACAATCTCCATCCTGGCACAGCTCTCTAATACAGTGCTTCTAAAGCAATGCTCAGAGCTTTACAAATACCTGCTGTGGTGCGTTCTGGTCTGAGACTGTAAAATTTTCACAAGAAATGACTTTGTTTCCTCTAGAGTCCCACAGTCCTCTGCCCCTCTGCAGTGCCAAGGAGCTTCAAGGAGGGCGGACTGCTTTCTCTAAAGGGGACCTTTGTCATCATGCACTGGACAAGCCATCAAGACACATCATGTCTATCCTGTTTGTTTCACACCATCCTTCCTGTCTTCCCTGCAGCTACCTCATCCCTGAACTCACAACTGCAACAGCTCCAGCAGCTCCAGCTCCAGCAGCAGCAGCAGCAGCAACAGCAACAGCAACAGCAACAGCAACAGCAGCAACAGCTGCCTCCTCCACCAACCAGCCAGCACCCACAGCCAGTCTCCCAGGCACCCTCACAGTCTCAGCAGCAACAGTCCCAGCCCACCCCACCCCACCAGCCACCACCTGCCTCACAGCAGCCACCGGCTCCCCCCAGCTCAGCTCCCGCAGGCTACTCAGTCTCAGCAGCATCAACCCCACTCCCACCCCCAGAGCCAGAATCAGTCATCTCCAAGCCAACAGAGCTCAAGCCCCCCCTCAGAAACCCAGCCCATCTCCAGGACATAGCCTTCCATCACCGCTCACGCCGCCCAACCCTCTACAGGTATGCTTTCCATCCTCCTCAGGAGCATGGACTTTCCCATGGTGTTGTACAGTCCCCAAAGGCAGAAGGCCAGCCAGACATAGCATCACATTCTGCAGCATCCAATTCAAATTGATCTCCTAGACTTAGGGAAGAGGAAGCAAATGGCAGGCAGCTGGGGATGCATGTAAACGAAACAAATAGAAGTCCATTGATGCAGCCCTCCGAAGGATAAATGTTATGTCTTTCTTTCGGTGAGAGGACAGCACTGTAAGTGCACTTGTAGCCTGTAATAACTCCATTTTATGATACTTTTTGAAGGCTGCAAAGATAGCATCCAATTAAAATTATTACTAGCACAGTTTTGTAGCCCCGTGGAGAACTGCATCTCCTGTCCATGAGGCCTGGTGGTTATTTCTCTATATTATGAATACAACAGTGTCTTACCTTCGTACTTTCTGCTCTTTTGTTTTTATTTTTCTAAATACTCTCTGGGGTTACGAGGGCAAAGAAACTTAGCCCCAGTCTTTCGTCCCAGATTCCAACCATTACTCCATAGACTAACAAGTACTCTAAATTTATGCCCAGAGCCTCAGCAAATATGCATCTTGATATAAATTAAAGCAGCTATGTGTTTACTTTATTACTGTGAGACTGAAGAAACAAAAAATAGATACCTCGGGTTAATCTTGAAAGCTTATCTTTAATCCACTGTCACTGAAGAGGAATGAAGAGGAGCAGTCAGGACTATGTAACATTAACTTCAGACCAATTAGCTCCCAAACAGAATGACTGGGATGCCAGTGCAGGAGGTATAGGCTACGTGTTTTTCAACTTACATGAGACAAATTCCTCCATGAGATTCCAAAGGGCAGGGTATTCCTAGGTATGATAACAACCAAGTGAACAGTTCATGCATTCTCTTCAATGCCAATTAGCCCACTAACCTTCCTTAGAGGTGAGCCTTGATCCATCCTCCCCAACCCAAGGGTGACAGCAGTAAAGGCATTTATGACTGTTAAACAGGAAAACAAACAAGACCAAACAGATAACCACACAGACTAAAGGCAAGTAGATTAGGAATTTAGCAATCTACTACTGACTTTACTTGATGTCTCATTGCTTTGTCTCTTTGAACTTGCTTTCTTTGGAGTGGCCCAAAGTTTACCTGGAAATACATTTATTTGATTGAGGAATGATAGTGATTGGACAAGTGCTTAAAGGGAACTTTCATTTTGAGCACGTTCCTAAGTCAGAGCTAAGATGTACTTTTTCACAAATCTTACAAGGGCAAGACAACCTAACCATTTTGACAAGATACTGAAATGAACACAAGCTTAAAATGTCTTCCTTGGACACCTGACATCTGATGGGAGAGTAGCTATAATCAAATGCACAAATGCACTGTTCAAGCAGCCTCAGTGTTGTCAGCATCCAAAATGTATCTCTGTCATCCCAGAGACAGAGTGTAATGCTTTTTAAGAACAGTTAAAGTAGACGGACCTAGATACCAAGTGAATTGGTGACTTACACTCTAGAAGCACACACTGCATGACAGAAACAACGTGTTTGAATTTGACTCACAGTTTTGGAGAGTTGTCGTCCAGCATAGCAGAGAGGCCATGGGGAGCAGCTCAGTCTGTAGCAACAGTGTGTGGCAGAGCCTGTTCCCAGCTGTAACCAAAAAACAGAGGCCAAAGCAGAAACCAGGCAGGGATGGACTTTGAAAGGCTTATCACCGGGGATGGATTTCTGCCAGCCACACCCCACCTAGAGGTTCTTTACCCTCCTCAAACAGCCCCACCAGTTGCGGAGTAAGCTTCAAACAGGAACTTGTGGGAGATGGTTCGGGTCCAAGCCATGACAGCATGTGATTAAACATTTCTGTCCTGTTCTCACAAGATACCCAAATAGGTTAAACTACCAAAGAAAATGTCATCCTGACTTGAGAAATGGCATGGCTTGCATCTGCCCAAGTTGTTGGTTATAATCCAAAGTTGTTTCCCATTTAATAAAAGTGGTCTTGGAGCCATGTGGACATCACCATTTCCAGAACACTAGCAACACCTGAGTTCTAAGCCTTCTCCCAACTGCCATGGAAATCCCGGCTGTTTAGTTTTGTTTCATTCTTCAGCAAAGGCATGCTCAAAGCCACATTGTTTCTTGACAACTTTGATAAAATATTCTAATTTTCTTGTTGGGATTTTTGCGTCTAGACTTAATATATTTATGATGTTTAAGTACAGACTAGATATTACCCTAACACCTGTGGACCTGAATGAGTGACCACCAAAGAGTGCCGTTTTGAAAGTTTTAAAGCATTTCTGAGGAAATATAGAATTAAACTTGAATAACAAATCTATTTCAACAAGAATAAAAAGCAGCCTCTCCTTACTTCAGGCATGTATAAAGAAAAAGGAGAATTTCATGATCTAAGTTTTTTCCCCTAACCCTCACTGCAGAGCTTTTGAGTTTGTGGAACATGCACGGTTTGAATTTTTCAAAAAGAAAACCTTTTTAAAGGCATTGTACAGGAGTTTAATTCTCAGAGGTAATACTCTTTATGAACTAGAATAAAGTGATTGGTCTGAAAATTATTCAGGGAGTAAAGATCAACTAAATTTAATATGTGACAATGAAGTTTCATTTTTAGGATTCTTTGTTTTCAGGTGGAGTTTATCTTTCTATATTGTTCAAAATCAATCCAAGAACGGTGCAACACAGATTATCAGGAAACCAGTGCATCAGAAGGCCCGTTTGTTTTGTATTTGACTCCAAAACATTTTGAAGGATAACAATTATTTCTAAAGCTGTATAGATGCTGTGATGTCTTCAGAAAAAAAAAAGTCCTAAATGAAAGAATGTTGTGAAGATATATTTGGGAGAGGTCGTTTTTCAAGATAGAGAAAAAAAAATGAGTAATGCTGGCAGGTAGCAACACCTAGAGAAAAAGTCTCCAAATAGCTCCTGTCAGGGTTTTCTGTAAAATTGCAGTATAATTTGATTTCACTTTTTCACTCAATTCCATGAAATGGATTGCATTTACAAAACCAGATTGTTGTTTCAAGGCAGACAAGACTCTAAAGTGTTACTCCTGCAGAAAAGCTGGGGTAAGAGAGAAACTTGATTCATTCATTTTGATCATCTGGGGCCAGGTGGGGTTTAGAGTGGCTAACAGAAGCTGTACCCAGCATGGCTCTTTCCGTTTTCCATTGAGATTCAAAGCCTGCTCACCCACAACTTCCTTCAGTCCCCAAAGCTGAGAAGAGAAGTTCTAACAGGAAAGGGAATCACATAGGACCTCAGGAGCCAGGCAGTCAGTGCACACAGGCAGGTGTAGGTAAAATGCAAAATGAACTTCTGTAGAGTTCACGGAACAGAAGAGTTGGTTAGTCCTTGGATTCAGGGATAGTTTTCAGCCCATGAACATTCATTTTCTGTAACTCATCTGCATCAGAATAGGCAAGGATCTGAAACAATAAATGGAATTAACCTTTTAGATAGAGAGGACTTCATGTAATTATTCCTGGTAGAAAAAAAAAACCCAAACTCAAACTTTGAACTCGATACTAGTGGAATCTGGCACAGGTCTTATGAGGGTGAGGATGGTGAGGCTCTTCCTGTCCAATACTTGCAAACTGCTTTGCCTGGGGGTGACCTTCAGAGTTCTACATGCACTGGAGGCATCACAGGCATTTTTGCCAATGTCATAATGAGCCCAAAGGGCCTGTCGGGGCCTGGCTGAAGCCCATTGTGGTGCACTGGTATGCGGATGGTTGCTTTGTCACTCACACCTTTTGACAGGTTATTGTAACTCTCTGGATGCCGTTTTTGCGCATCTACCATTTCTAAGAATCCTTTCAGGCCTATGCACATGTGATTCAAACACTGGTAGAAGTCTGAGATTTTAGTGGCTACTGAAAACTTTATTTTCAGATTTCCTGAGTATTCGTCAAGGTCAGGTGAATTTCTTCCCACTCAGCTGGATGGCAAAGTGGAGAGAGAGTGGAAGACAAACATAAGTGGGGTAATGATAGCAGAAGAAGGTTTTAGCTTAGCCAGAGAGCACAAATTAAACTGGAGTTTGGATCCTCAGAGAGTCGCTGCTATGTGCTCTCATCCCAGATTGTTGGCCACACCTGTGCATTACAGGAGCTTAAGGAACCAAACGCTGCATTTAACCTTGGCCTTCTGCAAACCAACTCGCATAGCAGGAAGCGGGATAATCTTGTCCTTTTCTTGTTGTGCTGCACATTTTAATAAACAACAGAGAGAAGAGAGGGAGATGAAGCAGGAGCAAAAGAAATATATAAAACTATTTGTACTTGTATGAGAAATGAGGGGCCTCATCACCTCCCCGGAGGTGCAGGTGCTCGGAAGATAGTCTAAGATGCATTTTCATGTGTGAGCATTTGCTCATATGCAGGTCTAGTAACAGCTCAGGTAAGAAATGGATGAGAATCCCACCTCTGCCACACGGGAGCAAGGCCTTCTGACCTTGACATTAGAGTCCCACTGGCTCACTGTACCACAGTCACTGTACATATGTAATGCGGAAGGGGCGTGCCAGACCCCTTTTTGAAACAGAAAGTCCAAATCTTGAGAAGTAGTTACTTTCATTATCTTTAAAGCAAATTTTCTTCAACCATGAGCCCTTCTCTGCATCATAAAAAAGGCCAAACTCTTTCTCCCTTCAGCAATTAGTATTGATCAGTTTAGCCCAAGACTCCTGGTGTAGGATTTTTCATTCATAAAATTAAATCCTTCTGAGGCCCTTTCATTTCCTTTTGAGTTTTGCATCAGTACACTAATAATATACAGCCTCCTCTAGTCATTATCAATTTCAATAGAACAGAGGCATCTCTGCATTCACACAAGGCAGTCACTTGCAGAGTGAGACTAAGGTAAGGCTATGTGGTTCTCATCTCAGATCCAGAACTTAAAAGCACCCCCAAAATGTGCTAATTGAAAAAGATAATAGTGGAATGCGGTATTTTGAAAATTCAAATGGCGAAAACTCA